GTCAAAAAACTTCAAGTCACTTTGAAGAATACCATGGGCACCTGTACATCTAAAAATACTTTATCCAGCCTAACCTGGTTTGCCGATCATGGTTTAAAAGGGCCTGACAAGCTGAAAAGTGCCCAAAGTTCATCAGAAACCAGACCAGCAGGACCAGGCTCAGACCAGAGCCAGCTTATAGGCTGGTTTAAGCGGGGGTATTTCAGCAAGTATTGCCATTATACATGTCCAAAACTTTGTTTTAGTGCACTGTACACTCAATACAATTGTGGCAACACAATACAAGCAATGATCATTTAATGAAATTTAACAAAGAAATGAGTTAGAATTAGTACGATTAGCTGCTTAAGAGTCAACCATTCAAAATGAGTAAATGCAAACAGCACACAAAAACATTAAGTAACATCTAAACAAAAAATAAATAGCCAAAAAGGTTCACTGAACAAATCATCATGTTAGTAAATAGGCTACTACATATGAAATTATTTAGACACACAACAAATTGGATTTGCATTAGATTGGATTTATTTAGTATTCTCTCTAGGCTATTTGTAATCTTTCATAACCTGCAAGTGTTAAAGTGAAGGGACATGTGGCCAAGTATGGTGACCCATACTCAGAATTAGTGCTCTGCATTTAACACATCCAAAGGTTACAAGTCCGACTCTCTATCCATTAGGCCACGACTTCCCCCACGACTTTACCAAGAAGAGCCACTAGTTTTCGGTATGAATTTAGGTTGGTTCAGTGATATTAAAAATATTTTTGTCTTCAATAAAACCAGTTAATTTAGATGTTTAGATGCTAAGTGTAAAACTAGTTACTAGTAAAAAAAACAAAAACAATACCAGGACATTATTCGTTAATTTTATGGACATTTACGCAAAAGTGCAAAATTTAAAATACAGGTAAAACACCTCTAAAAATAAATAGAGAAAATTCCTTCATATTAACACAGAACATTGTACCCTATTTTAAAATATGTTTTTATGCATTTGCAAACCCATAGAATTATTTTTCTTACTGTGTGTTTTTTGTTGGTTAATAACAATGGTACATTTCATAATGGCTGGCAGTTTAGACAAAACACAGTGTATCCCCAACAGACAGTCTGAAGACATTTGTGTGTGTGTTTGAAGACTCAGATCCTGCTTTTGACCAGCTGCATGTGCTAATTGTGTTGCGCAGGTAAGCCCACCTGTGTGCTTTGAGATCAGCTCCGTTCATGCGTCCACACTTGCATCTGTTGGTTTTGTTCGTCGGCCGTTTGTGTTTGAGAGTTGTGTGGAGTTGTGTCGCTTTCTGACTCAGTGGAGTGAGAGATGATGAGACAGATATTCACTCCTCCACTCAACCTGATTCAATTCTGCTTCCTTATTCACCCAGAACTAATGCAAGACTTCACGCCGACTCATACATAAATAACCTGTGTTTGGGAAGCCGAGACGGAAATGCCAGAGTTATTTCTTAGTAATGATCTCAAGTTCACAGAATTGACAGACACTCGTACTCATAGATAACTAAACTAGGCTGTTGTGATCACTTTGATCAAAGAAAACAAAAGCATCTTCATTTTCATCATTCATCGTCTTCATTTGTATATAGAGTCTAATACCTTGCACTGGGGTTTTGCTTTGATCTCCTCTGTGATTACTGTTGTTTCTTTCAGTTCTCAGGCATTCTTGTTACATTTCAGTGAACTAAAAAAATTGATCATGTAATTATATCTTATATTTTAGAATATCATTGTCACTTATTGATAACAAAAATAATTCTAATATTTTATTGTATATTTATTTTAACTATAAAAATTGTTATAGCTATTGCACTATAAAAATGTTTTAGTTTTATAATATTAACTAATTATATTTATTTTATAATACCACCTAATAGAATTTAATCATTACAAGCAATTTATTTTATACTTTTATATTAATTTTATGATATTAAATATTAAGAATAAAAATATAATAATAATTAACTTATGCTGTAATGCAATATAATTGTATATAAAATATTGTTTTATTTTTTATAATATTAATATGTAACTTAATAATAGTAATATCTTATATTTTAGATTTTATTTTTAATTATTAATTTTATATGAATAATATATTATATAATTTATTAATTTTATATAATCAATATTTTTTTCATATTCATTAGTACAAATAATAAAAATAATTAATTTTGCTCTATAGTGCAATATAACTGCTCTATAAAAATATTTTTAGTTTTATGATATTAACTAATTATATTTATTTTATAATACCACCTAATAGAACTTAATCATTACAAGCAATACAAGTAATTCATTTTATACTTTTATATTAATTTTATGATATTAAATATTAAGAATAAAAATATAATAATAATTAACGTTTGCTGTAATGCAATATAATTGTTATATAAAATATTGTTTTATTTTTTATAATATTAATATGTAACTTAATAATAGTAATATCTTATATTTTAGATTTTATTTTTCATTATTAATTTTATATTAATAATATATTATATATTATATAATTTATTAATTGTATATAATCAATATTTAATTTGATGGTGATTATAATAATAAAAACTTAATTTATATGCAACTTTATTGATTTAATATTTAAAAAAAATAATATTTATTTACATATTTTATAATAATAGCAATATATGTATTTTATGTGTTTTTATCATATTAAATAGTAAGAAAAATATTGATAATTGTTGATAATGACAAGGTTGATAATGATGATGATAAACTTTTGCTCTATAATGCAATATAATTGCTCCATAAAATATTGTTTTTATATAATATTAATAAGTAACTTTATAATAACTACTATAATAAAACGTTTGCTCTATGCAATATAATTGCTCCCTAAAAAAGATTCAATATAATGTAATCTATCAATATAATATGAATAGTAATGATTATGTAATAATATTAATTATTATATTAATAAGTTACTTCTATATAAATATTATTTTATATTTGTTTTATAATATCAATGCGTAACAAAATGAATAATAATAACTTTATTACGTAACACTTACTATTACTACTACTAATAATATTTAATAATAATATGGAAAAAAAACATAACATTTATATTTTCCTCGTATTTCTTAGTAAATAACTTAACTATAGTAAGAAACGTTGGTAACACTTTACAATAAGGTTCATTAGTTAACTACATTAGTTAACATGAACTAATAATGAACTGCACTTATACAACATTTATTAATCTTTGTTAATGTTAATTTAAACATTAATACATTATTAAAATCTTGTTAACATTAGTTAATGCACTGTGAACTAACATGAACTAACAATGAACATCTGTATTTTTATTAACTAACGTTAGTGAAGATTAGTAAATACAGTAACAAATGTATTGCTCATGGTTAGTTCATGTTAGTTTATACATTAACTAATGAACCTTATTGTAAAGTGTTACCGAAGCATTATAGCTGAAGGTAATTCAGTACTTTGCTGTGGAGTTATGAAATGCTGCGAAATCCTTCCATGACATGAGGAATGTTTCTGCTTCAATCCTGCAGCTCTCGTGTGGGCACGGTGCGAAACCCCCAGCGATTTCACAGTGCAGCGGGTACGGCGTGGGTGAGGCTCGGCCCGGCCGCTCAGCCTGATACACTGCCATCTGTTCATCTCTATATCCAGCCCTGAGATCCAGATCCAAATCAAAGCAGGGCTGACAGGGCCCTCGGGCGCCTCTCATATGCTGTGAACTTCAGCGCGCTTTATCACATCAGACTTCCTCCTGCACCCAAACAGAGGTAATATTTGTCAAAAATACATTCGAGTAAGTAACAGAAACTCCAAATAGCACTGACATCACATCTTTCCTCCTCTAAAAAGAGATTTCCAGAACAGTAAGTGTGCAGTGACATCGATGACAAACATCGTGGAGAGAGAAAGCGCTCGACAATAAATCAAAGACGGATGTGTCCTACATTTATCAGCCCTGGAAACCTTAGGATGCATTTGGTAGAGGAGGAAAGAATGGTTTGAGCAAGTTCTTATCTGAGTTTAAAGAATGGAAGGGCCAATCGTTTAGGTCAATGTGAGAGCAATACTCGTGAGCTGCAGATCCTCCTCGTGACGGACCGTTCTCACTGTAGAAACAGCATCAGCACAATCACACCACAATAGACATCCTCAACAAACACACTCACACTGTGCTTAACAAAATTCATTTGATAATACTACAATTGTTATTAAAGGGGTCATACCAAAGAGAAAGGAAAAATTGAAATAACATCATATGACCCCTTTAACAACCACAATAATTATTATTATTATTATTAATCATATATTGGTATTTTTTTAAGATGAAAATCATTTTTATTTTCTTTCATCAAAATGCCACTGCTATATTATCAAAAAGGTACATTTTCTATAATTTGACATAATCGCCCAAGGTGCTGTGTTAATTTCAATGAAAAAGCAATTTATTAAGAAATATTCCATTTGTTTCTTCATAAAAAATAAATACAAATAAATGTCTAAATAAATAATACTTTGTCAAAACATGTTTCTTGGGAGAGAATACTGTTTTAATTAGTAATGCTGTTTTATGTTTATTAAGGTGCATAAAAAGCAGAATACATTTATTATTGTGCAAACAAACAATGAAAAAGAAAAAAAACACTTCTAAACATTTTAATACTTATACACATTACAGTAACACTAAAATAAATAAAAGAACAATAGTAAGCTAGCTATTCAATAATTCTACATAATATAAACTAGATAGATTTTTGTAGCGGCTTTTGTGGTGTCCCGTATCTCATAATTAAGCTGTTGCTGACATCTATCGGTGGTTACGTTTACTGCACCAGAATGACGCTTACGTAGCCGGGATGTCACGTACGTTTCTTCTACGTCACGACGTTCCCATGATGCACCGCGAAGGTTGGTTGAAAATATTTTTTTCTGTAAATTGAATTTTTGCTTATTTGTATTTTTTAAACACAGAGCCAGACTGATCTGCATACTCGTGTCTTCTTCGTTTCTCGGTAGGTCAGCTTGTTGTGAGCGTCGTCTGGTTACCGTCTCTGTAAAGTGAGGCATGTTTGGAGTAATGCTGACTGTAATGTAAATGTATTTTAGCTTTGCGCAGTGGCAGTATCGTAGCCTATGAGGTTTATCCGAGGCGCGATTATTGCTAATTGAAAACTTTACCCAATACCCCGCCGTGACGACTTGAAATATAGTCGGCATTGGCAATTTTTGACGGTCTTTACGGAGACTGGTAATTTTGTTTGAAAAGAAAGTTCGTTATTGAAGTTTTCCATGATTGGTTGAAATCGTAAACAGTACAAAATCACGTGACTTATGAGATCCGAATTTTGCCTGAAAAGCACGTGACTGCTTCAGTGAAGGTTTTGCTTGCTCTACTACATTATAGCTAGTGATGCAAAGTCCGATTCATTTCCGCGAACCGGTTCTTTTCGGACAGATTGGCTCATTGAACCGGTTCTTTTCGGACAGATCGGCTCATTGAACTGGTTCAAAGAGCCGATTCATCGGTTCCTGACGTCATCAAGCAATAACGTCTGGACGCATTTCTTTTCTAACAACTCCGTGGCATGTTGTATCAATGATTTAAATATAATATGCATGCACAATAAACTATTGTAAAATGTATTTACATCACTCGACAGAAAGGTTTTTGCAGGTTTTAATCAAATGTAAATTAATAACAGTCATAATAAGCATATTTCCAGTACGCGCCTCAGGCTTGCACAGTATCGTCAACTCACTCATCAGAATCTTCGGTAATCCTCGGCAAACTTCGACAGTTGGTTGAACCGGCTCATTCGGTTCTTTTTGAGTTGGACGTGCTACTTCGGCTGTGCGTCCTGCGTCACCAACCAGAACTAAAGTTCGATTCAGTTCGATTTGTGAACCGGCTCAACCTGTTACTTCCCGAGAACCGGCTCAAAAGAACGATTCGTTCAGGAACCTAACATCACTAATTATAGCTACCTAAAGTATTTTCTTTGTTTTTCAAATATCATAATGAACCTTGCCCGTTATATATAATCAAAATAGACAGATCCCAGATTTAATTCATATGAATTTGTTTAATTTAATTCCTATCTGTGTGTTGGCACTAGAATTAGTAAAATAATCACTTTGACAATGTCTATATTTCAATATCTATCTTTTATAAAATTAAAATAAAGAATCAGCTGCAAAACCATAAGTGAAAGCAGCGGCTGTAACGGAATACATGAGTTTAGTACGTGCTATACATTAATATGACCACTAGATGGCTAAATAGTAGGCTACTGGAAAGCTTTGAGTAATGAAAACATTTTCCACAGGTTAAGAAGAAAGCATACATTATAAACACACACACACACACACACACACACACACACACACACACACACACACACACACACCTACACACATAT